TTTGCTACGAATTGTTTTTCAAAAGCATAGTTGAATCGGCACAGCACGAACGCCGAATAAGACGGCTAATTTCTTCTTTTTCTTGGACTTATCACTCTGTATTCAATTCACCAACATTTTCCGTTCGATATGCTTACATTCTGTTCAATGCTTTTATGCCAACTGATTTTTGATCGTAAAATGTAGAAAGTAATATTATTTGCAATTTTAGCGGAACCACGCGCACCCACCACGATAAACGATGGGTGGACGAAGACATCACTCATTATGGCGCCATTGAGGAAAATTGTGATTTTGATGAATGGGTGGACCGAGTTAGTTCAATTTGAGCTCAGTTTGTTCCGAAGTATCCATAAGTCGGCCATTTGTTCAGGTTGATGTTTCGAAGTTCGCACAGGATATCAGTATCGATTTAATGGCGAGGCCAAAGCTGATTAAGAAAGAAAGGGTAACTTTTTTCATGCTTTCGTTGTCCTACCTTTTCTCATATATTTTAACTTTAGAATCCTCCTCATACCAGTTCATATCCAAAACCAGGATGGTCGTATTCAAACCTCATTGCTTTGGCTTTGAAAAATAGCGATACTGGACAGCTGACTGTATCAGAGATCTACGCGTTTATGCTGTAAGTGTTGATGTGACATCTTTTATTTTTTTAACATTTGAATGATCTGTTCAGATTCGGCACCGTGTGTTTTTTCTTACTGTAGTTGCAACCTTTTGGGTATTTGCATTCTCAATTTCATTTCAGAGAACATTTCCCTTACTTTCGAACTGCGCCAAATGGGTGGAAGAATTCTGTTCGTCATAATCTCTCTCTGAACAAGTGCTTTTGCAAAGTTGATGTAAGTCTTAAACCATTCTAATTTGTTTTGTGCTTTGGGATCCTATTTCTTGTTAATATTATAGTTATATTTGTGCTTATCGCGATTCACATGTTAAAGGTGGACGAAGACGCTCAATCAGTGCATCAGACTCGAAAATCATGCCTTTGGATGATTAATCCGGAGCGCGTAAATAAAGTCGAACATGACATTCGGAAATGGCGTGAGCGAAATCCGGATTCCGTGACTGAAGGAATGGCTCGACCAGGTATGGCGTTTAACTGTTCCTACGTCTGAGGTTTTCTGATCCGCGAAAATTCCAGAGGATCTCCAAGCGATTGAAGAGGGCACGAAAGGTCTACCTATCTCAAGAAACTCGAAACAGGTGTTGAAAACTGTCCCATTCAACAAAAGCGTTCGAAGAGAAGTGAGTGATAAGTTCGTTACGTTCATTGATATAATCTTCAGTAGATTCTTGATGTGTATGTGACTATTCGTCATTGTGGTCTGCTTTTCCAAGAAGGATGCTCGGCTCATCTCTAGCAGGCGAGTAAACGCCGATTAAAAGAATCGCAGCGTAAATGTTAAATTAGACTGTGTTGAAATGAGAGAGTGGAACTTATTTGTTTCGTCACTTATGTCGTTTCTTTATATAGGGCTGAATTAATGGGTTCTAGTAACATTTTTTTTTCTTAATTAATCGTTTTGGGTGCCGACTCATATTCGATTTTTTTCCCCGAATAATGGTGGATTCGAATTTTGTCAAGTCTTATAAAACTGATTTAAAACTTTTCCGTAGGTAGCTTTATTTGGGGCATTGGTCATTGTTTATAAAGCTCCTGGTGAACATTCTTGTATAACCCGCTCATTTTTAGTGGCTAGTTTGTTCAGTATGTTTCTTATAGGTGAGTCTACAATCGATGACCGATTTTATGATGGAGGATGCATAGCCGCCGTGAGTATGAATTACCTCTAGTACTTCTCATTTTTGTATTTTGCTTATTCTTTATTGTTCGGAATTATAATTTAGGATTTGTTTCACATTGTCAAACAGTGAACTGTCGTTCTCAGTCTAAAGAAACTGAAGAAATTGTTGTTAATCAGAACGTAAGTCGTTTCATATTTGTGCCACCCTTTTCAGTAAGCAGCATAATGCCTATTTGTTATTGTAGACCAATTCTCGAAATTTTTACCGTTTGCATCAACTGCTATACAAATGTGTGAATGGGGAAGTTTGGCCTATTTTCAAAAGTCCAGTTAAAATTTTAGTTTTTACTTGATAGTTTCAGCTGTTATATCCCTGATACCAAGCATGAACGGCTGATGATCGCCTTCATTCTTATTCGAGATCAGCAGCTGTTGAAGAGTTTATGCAGACGACGTTCCCATCAACTGAATCCATGCTTGAAACGAGTAGTAGCAGTGCTATAAAAGTGGGTTTTTCGAGTTCAGATTTCCTCAAATGCCTTCGCACAGTTTCCACTTCCGCTAAACGTTTTAGAACTATATTCGTCTATTTCTATTATAGATATTATATTACTATACTCTTTATATTATAGATATATTATATTAATTATAGCGTCCTCGATCTGATAGTTTCCATAGTCCTTCAAAAGATGTACCTGTGATGGATTTGTTGCCGAGTGCATTTGTTGATGCATTTTTGTCGTTAACACCCCCAAAATCGAAACGAGTTGAGAGGGATCGATCTGTTTCTCCGCTAGGGTAAGTTAAGTCATGTAAAAAAATAGAATAGATTTATTACTTTTGATGCTTTCTTTCTTCAGAATAGAATCCGGTTTCCGACACGCTCATGATGCCCTTAACGATAATTCATTATTAGCGGCCGCACTTGAACAAAGTCCCTATAAGATGCCGGTCACGTTCCCTGTATTATGATGTTTTCATAGGTTTTCAATCTTTATCTCTTTTTCACGTGTATCCACATTCTTGTTCTCATTATTTATTTAGCACTGAGCTTTCATAATGGATTTTGATTCATATTATTTGATCTCGATTAGTAATCCATGTGTTCACAATATTTCGTCCTCCCATTTTTACACCAGCTGCTTACTTTTTTGTGCCGTTGCAGTTTTGTACAAGCTTTGTATATGTCCACCTTTAGCCTGTACTTCTGTCAAAAGGTAGAGTAGATGCTATGGGTGGTGGTTGTACCTCATATGTTAACTGAATTTTGGAGTTTTCAAGTTTATTAAAACTACTTGTATCGCTATTGGGTGACGTACACATTAACTGTACGTTCGACTTTTACTTTATTTGTCTTTCAGTAGTTAAGCGACTCGCGTATTTCGGTCGTTCGTCATCAGCTGTTACTCAATTCACCCATACACAACTGTAAATTTAGTAAATTGTTGGTTTGATTGGTAATAATCTTTTGATCCAAAATTGGGCATGGTGTTGTACATACGTTTGTTGCGTTAATAATCCTGTGAATAAACATAATGACACCGATAATTGCATATGGCTATCAAAGTGGCGACCATTCGTTACTTGGAAAGATTGCATCGTTTCTATGCCTTTTTCTGTTCTCTCGAGAAGTTTTTCAGGGATCTCGATGAAAGACCGAGAAACTATCTACAAGTATTTAGTGGACAAAGTGGGTTTCCTAACTTTTTATAGCATTCCCGGCTCCTTCTACTTAAGTAAGGCTATTGAGTGGATATGGACATCGAAAAGGCCAAGAATCGACGTGGATGGACACTGGGGCCGATAAAACATGGAATCTGGTGGTTTAGAGAGGGAGAAACCACTAGAGAAACAGTACTGTATGCCCCCGTACGTTGTCGCAACTAGGAACTATGTAGCAGCTAGTTAAGCTCATTTTGGATTCAGATCCAAAATATCTCAAGAGATCTTTTGCGTGAGGGAAGAGGTGGCGCTGCTTCACAGAGAGCGATCCGACTGTCCCTGCGTTGACGAACATGTCCCATCTTGGCAACACCTCGTTGGACATTGTGTGAGCGATGTAAACGCGTCCCATCCAAGTCATTCCTTTTTCTTACGCTCCGCGACCTTCTAAAATTTTGCGTAGCGATGTACTCATTCTAGACCATACATTAGCATACCTGAAAAATACATGGCTCAGAGAAAGGCCAAACATTCTTCAGTTTGGCAGAGCTTTTTTCTAGACCTTACAGATATGTCTGTATCAGCTTGCCCTCCGATTAAATGATTAGTTCCATTCCTCTCTTCTCATCGAGAACATGGTGCGATTCCAAGAAAGGAATGAGGAAGCGACATACAAACCTTATTCGACGTGGTGTAATATGTGTTTTTATGGAAACAACCACGTCCAAATTAATTTTGGAACCACCAAAGGGGAAGTGAGTAAAAATTTCCCTTTTCCTGGCCTTAACGCGTCATTTTGATCGAAGTTCTATTACTGTAACTCTCGATAAGTTAGACAGATCGAACGTTATTGAAAACATTCATCGCATCTAAGTATTGCGTATTTACAGCTCAAAATTCATGGATTTGGTGTGCGGCGGCGGCGCTCGCAAAATCGCTCTTGTCCCACGCGGTGCAAAAGCACACGCCAGCGCACGTCGTCAACAGTGTTTAATTGGCAAATCTGCCACCGTAACAATAGCCTTCTATAGTGAGCGCGCGACGTCTTTGTCGGAAGGCGTAGGCGGCTATGCAAGAGTCCTCATTGTGATCTGCCGCCGCTTCGTTTATCGAATCCTCCGGGCGGAGAGTCCGCCACATGTTCGCTCTTGGTGATGAGAGCCTCGCCTCGTTTACAGGCGACCTTTGCACTTTGCCGCAAGCGCACATATGGCCGGATTTCAATACAACCTCATTTTCCTCGACCAGGTTTCTACAGCATCCAGGTCAAAGTTCTCTATCCCTAAAGGGTTGCTTAATTGCTGTTAACGTTTGTGTGGGGAAATCAAAACCCGGCGTTGTGCTGCCCGCAAGTCATTGTATAAAATCAGTCGAAGTGGGGTGAGTGAAACCATTTGGAATGGGAATAGAGTGAATGGCGCATCCAAAAGACATTCCTCAACGCTGAATGCATTATGTTTTCTATTTTTCACTTTTCTTGTTCTTTTTTTTGAAAAAAATGTTAAAGAGTATAAGCATGTGAATAAGCTAATAAAGACCGTGGGAATGAGATCCTGGCTGATTAGAAGTGTGGAGGAAAAGATCCATCCTCGACCTACTGACCCTATTGCTGCCCTTGAGCTCGTCAGACCACAACATCTATTCAAGTTGTACTACAGAATTCTATATTTTTCGGTGTCCGAAACCTAATGGCCTACAAAATTAGATATACCTATATGCATAAAATTCTGTTATTTTTTCTCGGTGGAACAAATTAACGAGAATTGTGAGATTACCGTAGCATATGCTCTGGGTCTTTAGGTGTTCCGCGCGCGGACTTGTCGCAGAACTGAAAGAACTGACACTTGACCTGTTTTTTAAGGCCAAAAATTCACTCGTGAATCTGCTATGCTGCGATTTCTTTTTGCGATG